TGTTCTGGGAACTCTTCTGTGTATTTTCATTGAAGGGTATGCTGAGTTGGTCATTCACTTACAACATACACGAGAGACTCCAGAACCTAACGAACATAACTTTTTTTAATCCTGACGAACTATTCAACAACTCGATAAAGATGCAAGAATCCACTGTCCTTAACCACGCCTAAAGCTTAACAAATTCCCTGCAATGACCGTGGACAAAAGTACACACCAGACAGGAAGAGATCTGCAACACAAAAGAAACGTTAGACATACACAGGAAAGTTCAGCTGTATTTCGACATATGAACATAAAGGGAAATCACTTTATCAACTGGAACGGAGCCACCATCACACGTGAAACTACAGGCAACTATCAAACAAAAAGCACTCGTTGACTCCATTCCTAAAGTGAATATTTCCCAGCGTCAGTGGAGACTAGACAGGATTTCAAAATACGCCCTAGCGCTGGCCTGGAGCTTTACGACTCACCCGCCACGAGTTCAAACCCCACCCGTGGTATGGCTTGTTTGCAATCGTGTCATTATGATTTCGTGAATTACGCCCTAAGATTAGCATGATCCATCGCGATACCTTAACCAAAATCTCAAATAAAGCGTCTCTCTCTATCGGCATATGAAAATTTCTAAGCCCTTCATATTCTACCTCACGTAAAGCTTTTGAGTGATATTGAATGGCTTTGCGAAATTCCATAAAATTGTAGATGTTTTCAGTAAATAAAAAACAGAAACCTAGTTTCCTGTTAACTAATACTTAACGTTATGTATATGTGGTGCAGGTTGATGGGTTCCCAGGTGCTGACAGTGATGTAGGGAAGAGGGAGGGAAGAGAAAGGAGGGTAGAACGAAGGAATTAAGATATTTTTCATTTCAGATTAAGTAATAAAACTGTGTATAGTCAGATATACTGGGGTAGGAGACTAGCAATATCTACATCGATCGCCCGTATGCGGTTGAATCATATAGATTATCATTTGAATTATTCCTGTATTGCTTTCAACACTGTATTTCCAGAAGCTTTGTGACTTATGATCCTGGTGGCTGGAACCTCCGTTAGATAGCAAATTAGTGTTAATATTAGCTCTTTATCTGCTGGTTCAGCGCCGCCGCTGCTGCTGCGCTCTGGAGGGTAACCTCAACTGTGTTGTTTGTGTATAGTGGTTGAGCCGGAGGTCTCTGCTCCCTCTGCTGGATACTACGCCACTGTCTTGTCTTCCACCTCAAACATATGCAGCTACACCTATTTATATGCAAATATTTATTTGAATCAGGGGTAAGCGCTCAGTCTGCAGGGGTCGTATAGCTCCTGGGGGATGGGAGGCATTCAGATTCAATCCAAGAAAAGGAAAGATAAGTTCAGTTCCTTATATCAAGCGCCCTGTTCCTTCCCTCACCGGCATCAAGGAAACTAACTCCTTAACGGATTTACCTCTGATAAACATTTATAAAGATTCACAACTTAAAAATAACAAAAATAATTATTCGAGAGCACCAAGGCATCACTGTTTAGTTAGTAAAACTGCTGGAGTGAATGACACTCATTAACAACAGCATTTCACCCACACAGGGATCTAATAAAGTCTACTCTGTAGGTCGAAACGTTGCAGTTAATAATGGTTTCCAGTACATCTAAGTGTCATTTACTCCACTCCAAAATTGTTTCCAGTTAGTGTGTTCTTCGAAGACACTTGGAGCAGAGCAAGGCTTGGTCTGCTCTCTCTCTGTATTACCCATGCTTGTCGACAGGCTGCCTTCCAAACTTATTGCAGTTGTCCGTGACTTCGATAACTAGCAACATTTCCGGTAATTAAAGGAACACCGACGTCGACGTCTTGACAATAGATGGCTGATATTTTTACGGTGGCAGTATTGCTATGTTGGGGAGTGTCCATCGTGGACAAGTGTTACTCTCATTGTATGACATAAACAGTAAGTAAACATGACGCGACCCAGCCGTGGCTCTGTATGTCTTCATTATCTCAAGGAATATCATTGTTTTACATATGCAAATACTCCGTTCTGTTCTGTTGTAAATTCGCCTGTATATTCACCCGGCCTGAGCCTTTCCCAAGAGATGGCCTGGCCTTGGCTCCCTGTCGTGGGAGTGTCTCAGACCAATGTCTGCCATGGGAGGAGGTACAAGTACCTCCTTGTCTTCTGGGACCAACTGTCCCCAGGCCGAGCCCCATTCCCCGCCCCCATGGGGCTCGGAGGGAGAAGCTAGGCACCTTGGGCTGCCACAAACTCCGCCCACACTAGGCTCGAAGAGTGTGGCAGCTGCAAAGCAGCAGACAATGTCAGGAGGTGCAAATGCAGCTTCCACTACAAGATCCTTTTGGAGCCGCACCCCAGCTTTGGGCATTAAGCCCGAGCACCGGGGAAGCTCAAGAATGCCTCTTGCTGTGTGTGCTGCTGCTGCTGCTGCTGCTGCTACTACTACTATTACACGTGTCCCTTGCATTCCCTGCAAATATTCCGAGTTCGAGTGAGATGGATTTATGTTACTCGGCTTGATATGCTTGAATTTTAGTGTTAACTAGTCTTTGTGAATATGATGATTTTGGGTATATATGCGGCATCCATATATTACACATGGTATAAGTTTTTGTTATATAGACGTATTTGGCGAACTAAAAGACGGACATTTGCTAAAAAGAAGGGAAATAAATCCCAAGGATTAGTATGCCAAAATTCAGTAATAATCACTAATACTTAGTAATGTATGAACGCTAGCCTTCAGTATCACACACGAAGAACCACCCTCCTTAAGATAAAAAAAAAATGGTTATAATAATAACCATTAATTTTTAAAGGGGTGGACCGTAAAGCCAGCGGAAGGCCTTGGTCAGATGAGCAAAAGCTCCAGTGGCAGGTCATCTTATGATTAAGACCCACGTCAGGAAACAAACCTTACCTAACCACCCTCCAACACATGGGTTTATGATCGCTAAAATTCCTAATTCGCTTTGAATTATTATTATTATTATTATTATTATTATTATTATTATTATTATTATTATTATTATTATTATTAATCATTGAGAAACTGTAAACCTGCATGGGTCATCCAGCGCCTCGGAAACGAGAGAAAATGAGGTTTTATCTAGATGAGAAGAGGATAGCTTCAATACCTTGGACTGTGGTCACAGTAAGAGCCCTCATGGCACTCCATTAGGATGGGGTGCCATGAGGATCATGTGACCTTGAAAATGACCCTGATTGAAACTGAGGCGACCTTACCATAATTATATTCATTAAAAGAGACACGTGACAGCATTTAAAAAAAAAAAGAACTAATTATTTTGGTTTGAAAAGCAATAGGAAAAGATGGGCGGGGTTACGGAAATTACACGAAACTGTTGTAGCTTTCTGTGAAGATTATATTACGCGCAGTGTGTTCCTTTTTACGCCCAGTGTATGTGGTTTATTACGCGCAATGTGGTTTATTACGCGCAGTGTATGTGGTTTATTACGCGCAATGTGGTTTATTACGCGCAGTGTATGTGGTTTATTACGCGCAGTGTATGTGGTTTATTACGCGCAGTGTATGTGGTTTATTACACGCAGTGTATGTGGTTTATTACACGCAGTGTATGTGGTTTATTACACGCAGTGTATGTGGTTTATTACACGCAGTGTATGTGGTTTATTACGCGCAGTGTATGTGGTTTATTACGCGCAGTGTATGTGGTTTATTACGCGCAGGGTATGTGGTTTATTACGCACAGTGTATGTGGTTTATTACGCGCAGTGTATGTGGTTTATTACGCGCAGTGTATGTGGTTTATTACACGCAGTGTATGTGGTTTATTACGCGCAGTGTATGTGGTTTATTACGCGCAGTGTATGTGGTTTATTACGCGCAGTGTATGTGGTTTATTACACGCAGTGTATGTGGTTTATTACACGCAGTGTATGTGGTTTATTACACGCAGTGTATGTGGTTTATTACGCGCAGTGTATGTGGTTTATTACGCGCAGTGTATGTGGTTTATTACGCGCAGTGTATGTGGTTTATTACGCACAGTGTATGTGGTTTATTACGCGCAGTGTATGTGGTTTATTACGCGCAGTGTATGTGGTTTATTACGCGCAGTGTATGTGGTTTATTACACGCAGTGTATGTGGTTTATTACACGCAGTGTATGTCGTTTATTACACGCAGTGTATGTGGTTTATTACACGCAGTGTATGTGGTTTATTACGCACAGTGTATGTGGTTTATTACGCGCAGTGTATGTGGTTTATTACGCGCAGTGTATGTGGTTTATTACGCGCAGTGTATGTGGTTTATTACGCGCAGTGTATGTGGTTTATTACGCGCAGTGTATGTGGTTTATTACGCACAGTGTATGTGGTTTATTACGCGCAGTGTATGTGGTTTATTACGCGCAGTGTATGTGGTTTATTACGCGCAGTGTATGTGGTTTATTACGCAGTGTATGTGGTTTATTACGCACAGTGTATGTGGTTTATTACGCGCAGTGTATGTGGTTTATTACGCGCAGTGTATGTGGTTTATTACGCGCAGTGCGTGGTTTTATGCAGGTGTTTCCCGGGTAAAATAATTTACAGCTGTGAACGTGAGCATGGCACTAATGCTGGTGTAAATGATTTACAACCGTGAAGGTAGGCGTGGCACCAATACTGGTGTAAATGATTTACATCTGTGAATGTGGGTGTGACACCAATACTGGTGTAAATGATTTACATCTGTGAATGTGGGCGTGACACCAATGCTAGTGTAAATTATTTACAGAGTTAAAGGTGGGAGCTGCACCGGTACGGATGTAAATTACTTACAGCTGCTAAGGTGGGCGTAGCACCAATACTAATGTAAATGATTTACAGCTGTGAGGGTGGGCGTACCATTAATATTCATTTAAATAATTTAGAACTGTGAAGGCGAGTATAGTGCCAAGACTGATGTACTCTCGAAGCGTTTGCAGTGAACCAGTCACTGGTATGAGACCTAATACTGAGTACCTTATTTCAGATACCAGGATGGGGTGGCGCTGACCTGACCTCTCTTGACCTCCACAATATCCATACCTGAGCTCCCTTCTCCCACTCCACCAAAAGTACCAGTCATGGAGTACGAGAAGGTAAGCTTCTGGGGCCACATGTATTATTATTATTATTATTATTATTATTATTATTATTATTATTATTATTATTATTGTTATTATTATGTATATTATTAAGCATTATTTATTATCATGCATTTATTGCCATTCTTCTTGTTGATTCGCCGGTATTCTCCCGGCCCGGGCCTTTTCCAAGTGGTGGCCCGGCCTTGGCTCCCTGTCTAGGGAGTGTCTGAGACCTAAGTCTCCCATGGGAGGAGGCACAAGTACCCCTTCATCGTTGGGACCAACTGTCCCCAGGCCTAGCCACATTCTCCGCCCTCACGGGGCTCGTAGGGAGAAGCTAGGCCTCTTTGGTCTGTCTTCCCCGCCCCAAGGGGGGTAATGGGAACGACATTCTTGTGAGCTGCAAGCTCTGGCTCAGGCACCTACCCTGCCCCAGAAGGGCTGGGCATGGTGTCGATCATTTATTGTCACACAGTAATAGTGAGATGTATTAAAAATTTACTTTCTCCCACTGATTAATGCTTATTTAGGTAAAAATAAATGTTTAAATATTTTCACATTTTATATATGAATAGAACAATATGTATTACAAATACAAATGTTAATTTCTTTGTAAAGATTACAATGTGTGGTTTACATATTATGAAATTTGTTAGGTCTGATCATAGGTCTCTCCTCCTAGTGAGTCTTCACCCAACATAGTGGTGGTCACGAGCCGAGCACGCTACCGTGTGCTATAGATGATTAACTATGATAGCTTACATCATTGTAAAATAGCTGTATCACAGAATATGCTTCACATTTCGTCATTAAACGCATGCTACCTGCTTCACTCAAGATCATTAATGAGGATGTGTTTAAATAAGGTACAAGGAATTCAGGACCCCCAATGGATATATATACAACATTGACTTCAGTTATCTTAGGTGTAATTTCTATAATTCACCACTAATCTTTGCCTCTAACAGTTATGTACTTTTGGAGAACGATGTAGACATTTTTTAAAGTTTATCTTTGGTTCATCTGTAGTGAAAGAAAACGAATCCCCAGCTTCTAGTGTCTGTTACAGAAAACGAAAATGAATTAAATTGTAATTGGATAACTATTTTAGTTTTCCTCTCTGTTCATTATTTCCCCAGACTGACGTTTATTTTGGTTAAAATTATTAATATCTTGGTTCATAGTATAAACGATTTATACAGTTGCGATAAATACTGATTTATTACATATACACACACTAATACTAGAGGAGGCAGGATCCATACATAGCTTTAAGAAAAAGAACGCTAAAGCTCTGGTAATTTAAGCCACCACTCCTACGAGCCCTTCTAGGGCGGCGATGGTGCCAGAGCTTGCTACCACCTGCAGCTCACACAACTGCCACTCCCACGAGCCCCCTGGGGCGGGGCAGATGGCAGACCAGAGGTCTAGCTTCTCCCTACGAGCCCCGTGAGGGCGGGGAATGGGGCTAGGCCTGGGGACAGTTGGTCCCGCAGCCGAGTAGGTACTTGTACTTCCTCCCATGGGAGACATAGGTCTCACGACATTCCCAAGCCAGGGAGCCAAGGCCGGGTCACCATCTGGGAAAGACCCGGGCCGGGAGAGTACCGGCGTATCAAGAACAACAATAAAGCTCTGGGCCTGGAAGCGACTAGCGAAGAGGCTTCCTGAAAGCACGAATAGGCGATTACAAATAGGCGAGTGTGTGTGTACACACACAGGAGCTGTGAATCGACCCCCGCAACTGCAACCAGATGAGTACTCTAAATATCTATTACTCAACCCACTGCAACTACAAATAGGTGAATACAGACACCTGAAAGATAGCTGTAGATAACTAGACATTTAAATATGTAGGTTTCTAGACCCATAGATGGGTGAAAGGACAGTGTAGATAAAAAGGTAGACACACACAAACTTGGAAGAAGGTAGACTAATATAGACAACTGGCTCCTGGTTTGAAGATATCTAACACCCTCAAGGCGGAGAAGTGAGCGTCTTAGTGCTTGGGCGAAGGGTTCTTGATCCAAGGAACTGGATCTCTCGTCTGGTGAGTAGACCTAGTTCCCACCACCAACTGCCATTTCTCAGGCACTATGTGGCACCCTTGTGGTTCATCACTACCCTATGAGTCCCATAATTATGGTTTGAAGGTTGGGAACACTTGGATGGCGATGGATAAATAATAGATTAATAGACTGGGTTAGCGAGAGTGATGGATGGGTCAGTAAGAGCGATGGATGGGTCAGTAAGAGCGATGGATGGGTCAGTAAGAGCGATGCAGGGATTTATAAGACTATTACACTGAATGTAAGTGTACATTTGGACAAAATGAAACACTGACAGACAGGCGAGTCAGATATGGAGACAGTAATCAAGCAACACGACTATTGCCCAGTGTCAACTGAGGCAATAGTCGTGGGGGATTGAAGTGGAGGGGGTAGAGTGGCGGATGGGAGGAGGAAGTGGGCGGGGTCTGGAAACGTGTGTGTACATTCACCTATATGTGGCTGTAGGGGTCGTGGGGTGTTGGGGTTTTGTGTGGGGGTGTGTGTGTGTGTGTGTGTGTGGGGTGTGTGTGTGTGTGTGCGTGCGTGTGTGTGTGTGTGTGTGGTGCGTGCGTGTGTGTGTGCGTGCGTGCGTGTGTGTGCGCGTGTGTGTGCGTGCGTGCGTGTGTGTGTGTGCGCGTGTGCGTACGCGCGCGTGCATGAATTCATTCATGAGTCGAGGGCGCAAGTGTAAGTGTCAGTGTCCCAGCTGTCATGGTGTGGTAAAGACGTCTCTCTCTCTCGCTGACGGGTCTTTTTATGGCTTTCATGACCAGCAGACAGGAAACAGACATTAACCGACGCTTTCCATCGAGTTTGTAGTGTGCAAAATTCTGTGTGGTCGAGCAATTTGTGTTACGAATGTTGTATTTCGTTGCTAGTGGACATAAGAGTCGCTAGAGGTGACCCTCTGTATGTGCATGGAGAAACACTCAAGACACTTACCACAGGAAAACAATGCGAATCTGGCCCTTCTCCTTAAAAAAAAAGTTGTGCTAAGTCCTTGTCGACAGAAAAAAGTTATACCAGTTTTTGATTGATGGAAAAAGAAATAAAATCCTTGTCAGTGAAAAGTCTAATACAAAGGTTTTTAGATCTGAAATCGCGTATATTAAATCTTTTTCTGTATGAAAAATGAAAAATGTGCTTACAAAACTCTTCAATGGGAAAAAATGAGCTTAAAAGGCATATCAGTGGAAAGAATGTTCCTCAAGGCTCTTTTCATAGAAAAGTCTTGTTCACGAGGTCTTGTTTAAACGACTATACAAAATAACTGTCGTGGGTGTTGTTCATGGTGCAGCGGCAGTAATCAATCAGCGACGTGCAGACGATGTGATTGTTAGTGCATCTCTTGTTTCCCACGGAGATGCTGGTGACGAGATGATGGCGTTCATCATGGCATTGATACTAGTGATGGTAGTGTTTGTGGCAGTGACCATACTCATACTAGCGATGGTAGTGTTTGTGGCAGTGACCATACTCATACTGGCGTTGATACTAGCGATGGTAGTGTTCGTGGCAGTGACGATGCTCATACTGGTGGCAGTGGTGGTAATGACATTGATTTAATGGTGGTTATGAGGGTGGCTTTACTGTCAAAAATGATGGTGGTTGTGGTTTTGTTTGTGATACTGGTAGTGGTGGTAAGGAAGCTGTTATGGTAATCAGGTTTATGATGTTGGTGATGATGGTCATGGGTGCGATGATGCTGGCGGTGATGATGTTGATGCTGGCGGTGATGATGGTGACGCTGGCGGTGATGATGGTGACGCTGGCGGTGATGATGCTGATGCTGGCGTTGATGATAGTGGTGATTATGGCGTCAGTGGGTTGGGTGAACTTTGGCAATGTTCATTGTTAGAAGTTTGTACATATACAAACTTTTGACACATAACACACAAGATACACACACCATAAACACACACACACGCGCACACACACACTCACACTCACACACTGTACACTGTGTACGTCAGGCCCATACTGGAGTATGCAGCACCAGTTTGGAACCCACACCTGGTTAAGCACATCAAGAAATTAGAGAAAGTGCAAAGGTTTGCGACAAGGTTAGTCCCGGAGCTCAGGGGAATGTCCTACGAAGAAAGGTTGAGGGAAATCGGCCTGACGACACTGGAGGACAGGAGAGTCAGGGGAGATATGATAACGATATACAAAATACTGCATGTAATAGATAAGGTGGACAGAGACAGGATGTTCCAGAGAGGGGACACAGAACACACACACACACACACACACACACACACACACACACACACACACACACACACACACACACACACACACACACACACATATATATATATATATATATGTGTGTGTGTGTGTGTGTGTGTGTGTGTGTGCAGAGGTTGGTGGATGAGTTTGGTAGGGTGTATAAATGAAGAAATTTGAAAGTGAATATAAGAAAGAGTAAGGAGATGAGGATAAAAATTAGGTAACGAAAGACTGGATATCATATTGGAGGGAGAGAGTATGGAGGAGGTGAATGTATTCAGATATTTAGGAGTGGACGTGTCAGCGGATGGGTCTATGAAAGATGAGGTGAATCATAGAACTGACGAGGGGAAAAAGGTGATTGGTGCACTAAGGAGTCTGTGAAGACAAAGAACTTTATCCATAGAAGCAAAGAGAGGAATGTATGAGAGTATAGTTATACCAACGCTCTTATATGGGTGTGAGGCATGAGTGGTGAATGTTGCAACAAGAAGGCTGGAGGCAGTGGGGACGTCATGTCTGAGGGCAATGTGTGGTGTGAATATAATGCAGAGAATTCGTAGTTTGGAAATTAGGAGGAGGTGCGGGATTACCAAAACCAATATCCAGAGTGCTGAGGAGGGAGCTGTTGAGATGGTTCGGACATGTAGAGAGGTTGGAACAAAATAGAATGACTTAGTGTATTAATCTGTAGTTGAGGGAAGGCGGGGTAGAGGTCGGTCTAGGAAA